GGAGGATGTGAGGAAGAGCCCTGAAGAGCCTGCTGGGCTGCTATAGAGGAGAAACAAATCTAATGCGAGCCCAAAGTCTCAGTGGAGCCTCACGAATAATTGTGATGAAGAAATAGACTCTCACGGGGCTGGATGGAAAATACACGGGCTGCATACATGTAGTCTGCTGGAAAACGAAGGACTAGAGTAGGAACCAAAGTGTTTCCAATGACAGCAGTTCCCATGTGTGAGCTAACACCACTGAGTATGAACTAGAAAACCACCCACTTCATGGGTTTTCAAGCTTTTCCAATCTGTGGACTATGGAAACCTTGCTGGTGGAGATGCAGACCCGTTCATGATGTTATGCTGAACAGGAGGTTTGGGTTTTTTAGCTACTTCTAGCATGTTCTCCAACACACCTTAAGAAACCGATTCCCCAGTCATTAGTGCTCTGGCTGGAGGAAAAGAACCCAATGAGTTTCAGTGGATTTCTTTCCTACAGTTAGAAAAAAAAGGTTGTAAAGAAGCGAAAATTGTGTTCATCTGAATCTCTTCCCAGCAGACATGAAGCCTGAATGTAGTCAAGAGAAACGTAATGGCACAGCTGTCCCACTGTTCCTGTGAGAACAGTGACTGCAAAGGCACGGCACCAGAGTTGTCAATAGTGCTGAAGAGCAAGAGTAAAGTGATATTGTTTAGCTGGACCCAAAGACATATTCCATCACCCACTCCTGTCGCTGCATTATCAAGGAGTAATTTAATTGGAGCAACACATTCTGCAAGGCTCAGGCAGTCAGTACAAAATATCCTTGAAATTTCTAAATATAATAGACTGTAGTTTCCAAGCTTAGAAAGTATTGCATCCAACATAAGGGGATTCTTTGTTATAGGTCTTCTTAAGAGAAAAAAAAAAGCAGCATATCAGGAGAAATCAGTGGTTGCTTAGGAATAAGCATCTAAGGGTTGGTTGCATTTGCCCTGTGTGAATATATGCAATCTGTTATATATATGTATGTGTATATATATATGTATGTATGTATATACACACACACATATAGGATGCTGCAGAAATTTACTACAAATATAATTTTATATTTAGGATACAAATCTCAGCACAAGGACAGGTATCTATACACTCATCTGGTTTAAAACACAGCCTCTTTCAAAGTTAGTCTGGAAACTAAATGTGAATTTACCAGGTGGGCAAAAACTAACCACACGCTTAACCAGGATTTAAAAGTCTGTTTTCAGTAAATGCCAGAGACAGAGCCAGTGAGACTGTTTCTGGCTTGGCACATTATGGTAAACGGAGAATACTCTCAATATGACCTACTGCTTTATATCTGCTAAGAACAGATAAGGATGTTTCTAAGGGTGGTGTGGTAGGTACAGGCTATATCTGGAAAACAAAACTAGATACTGCCTCTAGTTCAGTTGCCATATCCCCTTACAAGCTCCCCTACTTCTTTCAACCATTTTATCACATCAGAAATGCCCCTGTATCAGAAATGCTTTGTTTTCCAACATGATCTTTTGGTAGGGCATCCCTACGCCTACTAGGAATGTTTTTGCTTTTTGTCCTCCAGAGGATGTTTTTTAGGATGTTTTTGCTTTTTGTCCTCCAGAAGGTATTTGTGTGGTTAAGCAGTGGGTTATAATTAGCACCCCTTGATTCTCTCTCTGATGGTGACATGGACCTCAGCCATGGATGTTGGCACAGTTGTGGCATAGGGATTCTGAAAACTGATTGTTTAGGAGGATTGGGTTTTCATTTCACAGAGAAAGAGGACTAACTACAGGAAACCAGGTAAAACACCTCCCTTTCAACCAGAGAGAGACCTTTGTTCATACCCAGGTGGTTGTCAATCTGTAGAAAGGTGCTCTGGGAAAAAAAAAAAAAGGAAAAGACCTCTGCATCCTATCACCTGCATCTGTCTGCATCCTATCATCTTCTCTCTCCCATGCTCTGGAGGGTAAAATCTTGTGTTCTTTCCAACTCATGTTATCATCCATGCCCTCAGATTCTTGTCTGAGGGTAGAAAGCTGTCATATGCCTCCTTCACAGAGAAAGTAAGAATTTGCACAAGTTCAGTTCAGAGAGAGGAGAGGCATGCAACCTCTTTGTGACTTCTCAACTCAGAAATAACATAGCAGATGATGTGCTTGGCAGTTTTGTCGCAAAGATATAGAAAACATTTTGCCAGGGCCTAAATCCAAGATGACTGATATTAAAAAAAAAGAGAGAAAAAAAAAAAGATAAAAAAGGGTTCATCAATAGCTATGGAGTCCACTGAGGCAAGATGTGTTGCTGGGCTTTCTGTGGATGGCTCCACCAAGAGGGTAGCAACATGTCTCCCAGTGGTTGGTCCTAACTGGTAACACGTCAAAGCAAGCGAAGAAAGGGAAGCTGCTTCTCAAAGTCTGTAGTTATGCTGTGGAGCTCTTGGCACAGACCACTGTGCATGTTAAAAGTTAACATGAATTCAAAAGGTAAATGGACAAATTAATTGGAGAAAAAATCCACCACAGGTTATTAAATACAAAAAACATAAACGTTTTTTCATCTTTTTTTTTTCCTCCTCACTTTTTCTTTGTCCTTTTTGGGTGACTTGCCTGTCTTTAAGCAAAAAAAATCCTGCAGAGTATCTTTCTTCAAGCATCTTTTGGTGCAGCTTAGATCCCTTCTTCCAGGAGCATTATGCCCATGACACTGTAAAAAGCAGATACGCATGTATATATGCAAATTATTTGCTTATGTCTATTAGTACGTATGCAGAAGCATACAGTACTGCTACAGCAAACCTAGTAGGTATGGACTTTTGCCTCTTTGCCTTGCTTTGCCATGGGATCCACCCAGGTGAGCTCTCCTTGGAGGTGCGAGATCTATCACTTGTGGGTGGTTCAGAAGCCCTTGGGAGCCAGTGTCTGCCCACAGGACTGGGAGGGGGGTGCCTGAGCAGTAGGCAGTGAAATTCAGAGCAGGCTGCTCCTGCTTGCTGCTGTTCCCATGGAAACAGGGGAAAGAAGGGAGGAAATCCATCCCCAGTTTCTTTTGAAGATGAGCTTATCCAGCAGCACCCCTTGGCTGTCACACCTATTTCTATAGGAACTGGTGGCAGGCAATTTCCTCACACGCATTTCCTTGAGCGAGGCCAGAAATACTATCCCCACACAGGGTACGGAGTGGGCAAAGGCAAGTCATACTCATCTCTGCCCCAAGGCTGAGCCCCAGAGCTCCTTCAGAAAGTGAAGCAATTCCCGGCCAATCCTGCAGTTTATGCATTTCCGCAGTTCGACTCTGGGAAAGCACTGGCCACCTGCTTTCCCACGGATGTCAGGGAAGCTAGGGTTACAAAATCCGGATCTAGGGGAGTCTGGACCATTCCTTGGAAGAAGCCTCCCTGTGTCCTGAGGACTGGCTGTGAGTTTAGTTGCGGGGGCTCTGAAGCGACTATCACTGCAGTAAGCAGGCACTGGTCCGGACGGGGGCTGCAGTCAGCCCTGCGATGACAGGATCCATGCAGATCTCAGAGCTGCCAAAGCCCTGTCCAACATAAGCTCCCCATGCTCCTCGCTGCCCAGGTGAGGTCTGTCTGCCGGCACTAGCACCCAGTGAGACAGAAATGTCAGCTCTGCTTCGTGTGACTCACTGGGGACTACCGGAGACACCGAACCGCAGCTTTGCCAAAACGCTCCCGGTCTC